AGTCGGGATGAAGCCATTATCCAGACCAAGTTTGTATGACCACAGAGGTGCTTGGACAGTGTTTGTTACAGAGTCGGTGCCAATCTACGAGTCGAAGACATGTTAGCTATAGTGCCCGGGAGAGATAAAGATAACTAACATACCTTCCAAGTCCAGAAGAACCAATGTTGTAACGAGTCCATACTCGCCAGTATGAAGTTCTGGAAGCCATCCTTCATGGCTGGTGTCCACTTGGTGACATCATTGAACACTGAACAATCGCCGCTATATTGAGGGCCATTTCCTACACCGCGAACGAACAAGCCACAATCGTTAATGGCGTTGGAGAACTCTCCCGCAACAGTGATGCCAAAATTTGTGCGGCTATTTGTAGTAGTACAAGATGTCGCCGTCAGATATACTTCCGTTGGTCGCGAACTGTAGGCTACATACCTAGTGTTCAAGTTGTTAGCCCACGCATTGCAGGCTTGTTGGGGCCAGACACCACCCATCATCGTGCCATCACCGCCAACCGCAGCAATGTCGATCGGGCCCGTGTTAGGTTGGCCATCAAAGGCGAAGTAAGGATGGTTATCTGTACGAACTCCGTTGGTAATCTAACCCGTGTCATCCAATACGTGAAGACGTACCAAGCCCAACACGATCAGAACCAGCCAACACACCGACCCAGGTTGTCAACGGACGGAACCCATCGTGAATCGTCATGATTGGACCTTTGCCTTCCCCTGTACCGGTAATCGAGCGAACCACGTTGTGAGCCTGAACGTAGCTGTCGTCGTCCAGTCAGCTTGCAAGCCACAGCAAAAGTAATTAAGGTAACCTACAAGCTAGCCATTTGGTCAACGCCAATGTCTTGGACGAGAGGCTCGTTGAGAATGCTGAACATTGGGATAAGATCCACGTATTGGGGCTGGAGAAAATGTGGAGAGAGGGTGAGTTAGTCGTGTTTGTGTTACAGGATCGATCCAGAGGTGTGTAGAAAGGCCAAACGCATGCACGCGAACGGGTCCAGCGTATAAGAGTTTCCGGCTTCGACATAATTTGTATATCATACTGCCGATATTCGCTCACGCACGCAAACGAACCCAGCACGCCTAGCGCTCATAACAGAAGGCTCGAGCAGCATCGCGGGACAAGGGGTGCGCGGATGAAACAAATCGGGAAGGCAACAAGAGAAACAAGAACTGTACCCCGCCAGAAGGTTGATCATGACGAATAGAATAGTACTCACCTGAGAGATGAACTCGGTGATCGTCCTGATGTAATCCAGTGTACGCTGCGCGTTTGCGTATCCCATCACCCCTTTCATAAAGTTGATTTGGCCAAGTTTACCAGAGTGGTTGTAGCCTGTGCCGTGTTCACAAGTTGTTCTTGATCAGCCGACAATCAACACAATACTGCTACATCCGCAGTACGCACCGTTTTGCGATCCGGGAATTGTATGCAAATCCAGGTTAACGCGGATACCGTACTTCCTCGCCCACTCCAACACTTTCAGAATGTACTGCCAGCAAACCTGTGCTAGGAAAGGCTCAGCAACCTCCGGGCCGTTTGGCGCATTATCAGACCCGACATCGTTCCATTTCTCGATAGCCCAGAACGGGATTGGCAAGCGCACCCAGTTGAGACCTGCGCCGGCGATTTGAGCGATGTCTTCCTCGGTGATGAATGTGGAATAGTGCTGTACGAGAAAGTCGGTGAGGTTACCGGAGGAAGATACAGCTTGAGACAAGTCCCATTCGTCACGAGCACCAGCATAGGCCTGGAACAAGGCGGGAGAGATGAACGGTTCCAGGACAAAGAGACCACCAAGATTCACGCTAGTAGATAACCAGTACGTCTGAGTATGAGAGTAGAGAAGGAAATTTCTGTGAGGTACTCACCCGTTGACACGGTTGGCGACCCAATCCCAAGGTTCGCTCAAAGCAGGAGTCCAGCTATTTGGCTTGGCAGAGTTGTTGAACGGGTTCGCGGGATCAGCCACCCATATTCCACCAAAGGTGTTATTGTAAACGAATGTCGTGCCATCATCCTGTGTGACCGTGCTACCGTCCCCTCCCCATGTGGCCAAGCTCGTCTGACCGTTTCCTCCGCCTCCACCTCCACCAGAATTGCCTTTTCCTCCGCTACTACCAGTGCCTGTAGCGCCATTGGCAGACGTGCTTGATGAAGAGCTGTGGTGGCGAGTCGTGAGAACGACTGGCACGACTACGGCGACAACTATGACAGCGACAAGCGCTGCTAAGCCGCACAAGACGACCGGACGCTTGAAGAATGGCTTTTTCTCCTCGTACAGGTATGAGTCGTCGGCGGCTGCGTTCGTGTATGTCCCAGGCAGTGGTGAAATGAAAGGTGAGCCCTCAGCTGTTTCTTTTGGAAAGCCCGACAGCAGGGCTGCAGAGTTGTTGTTCGGTGTTGCCAAAGGTTCACGTTCGGGGTATACTTCGTATCCTGTCGACCCGCGAGGTGTAGAAGGGATAGATTGGCCGACGGAGAGAGTAGACTGCCGCATAGGTAGATCTGTCGGAGAAGATGCGGGATAGGACAAGCGAGGATTGTCGTTGTACATCGACATGTTTTAGGAACGCTAACCTGGTCGCTGGTGAGAGTAAAACGAGCTCAACTGGCGTAGAGAGCACTGTAAATAGTAATGAAGGGAGGTGTAGGGATGGACCTGGGAGGGGGAGCCAAACGAGAGACGATGGTGGTCCGAGGTTAAGCTGCAGCACAGGGCGCGAAACGAACCATCGGTTGAATGGTTGGGTGAGAAGGCATTGAGTCTATTCTGGGTTGCGCACGCACCGATCGCTGCCCACTCTCCTCCTTTCTATCCCCCTGGGGATTTCTGGAGCCTGAAGCTGCCTTGCGATGTCTGCAGCTGTAGCGTGCGCGACGCGGCTGACAGCGACGAGAGACTACAGGTTGACAGACGAGGGCTGTTTGGGCCGGACGTGTGACTGCCACATGACTGGCAATTCACTTTCCTGAATTGGCTCCGAGGCTGCAGGTGATGCCGTGTGAAGCGCCTCGGACTTTCTCTGCGACCACCATCCACTCAAATGTCGAGAACATAGCATCGCGACCACTCACATAGCGAGTGCAGAGATCCAAGTTCATGAATGCTATCGCAGCCATCAATTCCTGAGAAAACAGCTTTTGTGCGCAGCAATGTATACAGCAGGCTCAAGTCGGCTTACTCAACCACGAGCTGGTGAGTTCACTGACCATTTCAATCCAAAGCACTCCGCAGGCATCTACGTTACTTGGTTATTGGCGAAACGTGCGTGCAGAGTATCATTCTTGACATAGTTTCCTCCCTAACGCTATCGACCGTCTTCGCTCCGGCTCCCATACTAGTGCTAGCCAGATGCTCAGATTCATACCGGTGCGTGGTCGCCATCTATTCGGCAGTGTACAGCGAACATCTTGCTGACACCGTCGACGATAGAAACTGCCCTCTTTCTTGGCTGGCAAATTGTACCTCCAGGCTACAGGTTAACCACGAAAATGCTCAGCAACACTAGTCACAGCATCTGGTTGCAGGATCGCCTCCGTATATGCGCATACAGTCTGATGTCAAAGTGAGTTTATGATTCGCCACAACAACGCAATTCGCTACCGGCGGGAACACTGGCCGATCTCTGAGCATCTCCTCTGAGAGTTCGAGCCTGCAGCAGATGATGGCATGGAGACTCTTCGACCAGCCGATTGACGTTCGGACCCCATGTGGATAACCGATCCGGGCTCAAGTTGCACCGTCACCATCATTCCGCCCGCCACACACACCACCTGCCCGCCCACACCGGTTTCCATGTGCACACCCAGTCATACATAAACCACACCTGCGAAGGAATGAAATCGTTCGCTTCTCATCAATCAAGTACGTCGTCATCGCTTCCAGGTTCTGTAGGCTTACCGAAGGCAATTCATCCCCTGCAGCAACCCCATGGTCCACTTGAGCATGGTCCTTGCTCGCCGTTGTCTTGTCGGCAAGCCCGATGAACGTCGATTGCAGTCGCATCATCAGAGCTGGCACTGTCTGTGCACAGCTCTTTCTCTGGCGATGTGATCGATTGAGATGTGCTACACTGCTGCAAATCAACCATTGTCTCTGATCATCGCCGAGGCCGACTCTGGCTTGTAGATCACACGCTCGATAATGCGCAAGACACCGTTGCAATCTCGAGACATCACGCGGGATAGGTCGCCAGCAAGTCAAACGCCTTAGAGCATCCTTTGCACTGGTTAGCTTTCATCCTTTGTAACACACGCCGGTGACTTACCAAACCTACCTGCTTACAGGCACAAACCCTCATTCCACTCTCGCCAACGCACCGGCGACGAGAATAAAGTTTACTCCAGTCGATCAAATCCGCTATTCAAGATTCAACGCTTACGAACTTCGGTGCTTATACACGATCCCACCCTAGGTCGAGAAGGACCTCGGCCTCCGGATATTCAGTAATGCAGAGCAGTGTCAGAAGATTCATCTCAAGTCTATGTACACCGTGTCTTGATCCAAGCAGCACCTGCCAGGGACACCGCAAACACACGGAACAACACAATGGACTCATTGCGGTGACTATGTATCAGTTGATGGTTCAGTTGATCTTGTACGCCGACGGTGGGTCAGATCAATCAAACGTTGATAGCTCCGGGCTGGGACGCATTCTGTTGGAAGTATATTTCATGGCCAACCTGTAGGTACTAACCCCGAACACGGCGATCTGACGATGCGCCTGAGTATGCCTGTGCGTATAGATGTGTGCCTTGCACCAACATGTTTTAGTCGGCGTTGGGTGCCGTCTGAAAAAGAATTAGCGCTTGTCTCCATACCTGTACCCATCATCACCCTGCGAACGCGTAGGGTCGGTTTTTTTTCTGTGCTTTGCCTTGAACGTTTGCGCCCGAATTGCCTGAATACTTTTGGCAGCGTGTCGGTAATTAATATGAGTGTAATGTAATTTTTTCAACAATTAAAAAAACAGCAATAAATTATATGCCCATTGGCTGGATTGAACAACCGACCTCACCATCACGGCAAATACAAGTGGCGCGCTCTACCACTGAGCTAAACGGGCTTCATGGGGAATCCAGCCAGATAAAACATAACCTCGGCAACTTCCAGAAGCTATATACTTGTTGCCCAGTACCATTATCAGTGTCTTATTACCACTACTGCTGTACTAGCACTACCACTGGCTGATGCTGTGTCACACTTGGGCATTCCAGATGCTCAGTATGTACGCTGCTTGCAAGCCTAGGTGTGTACTGGAATATTTTTCAGTTGAGTACAGTGTCTTGTGTCTGGCAAGTAGTACTTACTTCTTGCTTCTGATATAGAGGACCGTGACTCAGTGATATGCGACGTAGTTTTCAACATCTTGGCAGTTATGGTGGTACATCAAAACTCTTATGCTAGCAGCATTCTTCCGAATTACAGCTGCAAGACCGTGTTGAGCTTGTGAGACAAGCGCCAGCTTTGTGGTGTTAGCCGCCGGACGCATCCGTTAGCGACGAAGGTATGGTCAATTGACCTTGAACTGATAAGTGAGCCAACTGACGAAAGCTGAGTAGGCTCAAATTACAGCGCAGGAGAGAAACAACTACTCGCGTTATGCCGGGCTCTGATCAAGAACAGCAGAGTAATTGTTCTCGTGAGTGTATACTCTCACCTGAGACCTCGCCAATTCATACTGACGTGTCTCGTAGGACGAAGCTACGAGTAATGTAGACGTGGAGACTGACGCCAAGTTACAACAGACAATCCAAACCGAGTTCGCGTCCTCTACTCTGTTGTGCATCGCACACAGGCTCAATACCGTCGGTAGGCTTCATGCGAACCCTTTTCTCGCTCAGACAGGTTCTGACGCGCTTTCTTTAGTCTTTTACGACCGTATCTTAGTTATGGACGCCGGACGTGTCGCCGAGTTCGATACACCACTAAATTTGTTCGACAACGAACAATCAATCTTCCGCTCTCTTTGCGATGAAGCAGGTCTGACTCGACAGCACATTGTCCGTCATACGATCCAATGTAGGAGCCCAAGACTAGAAGTCATAGATAATATAGTAATGATGTTGGATTGCCAACGGACTGATGATAATTACCTCAATACTAGTGTACCTCAAGGACCTGTGCTTTCGGGTCGCGAATGCTCCTAGTCCTTTTACAACGAGCGGCTATGAATCGACGCAATGCGTTGTTGTGAGGGACAACATTGACATGAGGGTCCACTTCACATGCATCGGAAGTCATGATTGGGGGAGGCGTTACTCACGAAATATTGCGTCCGGCCAAAAAAAAACCCAGACATTCAGGAGCGACCTTTCCATGCTACAAGGTTCCCTTCATATGCTTTGAGTGTTGTACAGAGTGAAGCGGTGAGTTGCAGCTATGGAATACACACGAGGGAAAGAAGACTACATAGCACAACAGAAAATGCGGTAATACAGCAAGAACAGTAAGGACATCAGAGGGCAGCGGGTCGCCAGTGAGTCGGTTAGAACTCGTTCGTGCACGCGAGAGCTAAGTACCCTGGAAGCCGCCAAGCACCTTTCAACCTCCCCAGCTTGTCTGAATGCGCGCACGGTAAAGCCTCGTGAGCACATGGAGACAAGCTGGGGAGGTCAAAAAATTGGGTGGGCGAGGTTGCAGGGGGTGTCGAGAACCATCTTCGCTTGGTATCAACTCGCCGGCGAGCTACTGGTCCTCAGCTTGCTCCAATCCCATTTATAATCTGCGCATTGCTCGTGCATCTCGCAGCTAGCGTCAGGATTCTCGATCCTCAGGACGGGCGCAGCGGGAACCATGCTCCAGTGTCCGGCATGCCAGACCGGAGGGCGATAGACCGGAAAGTTATAGTGCAGCGCGGCCTGGGTGTCGACGTGGTCGCATACAGGGTACTGGCACTAATATGGTTTGCTAGTCGATGTAGGAGTCAGTCATCGTTGAATTTGCTGCTTTTAGTACGCCACATACTGCTCGTTGCATGAATGCACCCGCAGGTGCCTGCCCAGGTCAAAAGCAGTAACCCTTTTTCCCATGAAAACCCGGGGCTTGCTTCCTTCGCAAAACCGACACCGGAGCGCCGTCGTATGCTAAAGGGAGGGGGAAGATGAGTAAGAGGCGACATAGCTGATGACCCTCGCGCATGCGTATGCTGCTGACTTACAGGGGACTGTGCGACCAGCGCCTCATCCTTTGCAGCCGTCACGTCGCGAACATTCTAATGGTCATGTAAGCGTTGGCCTTTGTAATATAACGCGTGAAAGGCTTACATCATGGTCGCGACCATAAGCACTGCTGTGGTAATCGCCCAAGTTCACCAAGATAGGCCTTACCAACGCGCACAGTTCGTGGGAACAGTGACCCTCAGGAGTGTATCTTTCAATCGACAGTGAAAGCGCATCTAGGTCGGCCTCCTCCTCGGCTTTCAAGGGCACGGAATGATCACGATGCTCGACAAGCTCAGGAATGGGCGTTGTCGCAGCAGTCGAGGAGGTGGCGTGATGCGAGCTTCTGGTTGAGCGACGCGCTAACGATGTCTTTGTCGTGGAAGATGCGTCCGATGGCGATGCTCGAAGCCTCCGAGGTATAGTAATGGTCAGCCTCTCGGAGTCGCCTCCACGAGTAGAGCGTCCTGAGCGTTGGTTTTTGAAGGGCATGGTGTATATAGCCGCGTGTGGAAGTAGCAAAGGTAGACGGTGACGGAACCGCTAAGGTACAAGTTCCGTTGTCGCAGTGACCCTCAGCCTGGTTCACTGCGACAACGAAACTTGCGCGTGAAGGTGAAGACAACGAGGACGAGGAGGTGAACATCGAAGGCTATTGGGCGCCGAGTTGGGAACCGCAGGCAAGAGACTCTGTTCCAATATATGAGGACTACGAGCAAGCAGCTGAGCAGAGAGACAGTGTTGAAGGGGGGAAGAAATACGACATACCTCGTACTTCTATCGATGATCGCGCGCGGCGTCTGTTTACCGAGAAGTTCCCAATGGGCAATGTAGCTGGTGTCCCCGTCGACGCCAACCACAGTGATGCTCACACTGCGTACGAAGCAGCTCTTGGCCACTTGCTGCACGGTGAGAATGCTTATTCGCCGTTTACCTCAAAGCTGGACTGGGAGATAGGGAATTGGGCGAAACTGAGGGGAGTAGCCACACGGCTTCCGCGCAGATTTTGGCTGTAGACGAGGTAAATGCTGAGTTGGATATGCATGACACGAGAGATTAGTCACCTGTGTGATTACTAGGTGCGAGAATGTGAGTTCTCGGTGCGTCCTCCGCGACGTTGTGCGTGGAAACGCGGAAGTCGTTGGGAAGGGATGAGAATCACGAGATGTGGTGGTCGAGGCTGGTGAGATGTGAGTAGGAATGAGAGTCGATGGTCGAAGGTCTTGATGCCTTCCCCGTACAAAGCCACTACCTATATACAGCCAGCGGTCATCTACATATCACCGGGTCTGTGGCATATGAACAAGGTGAGTTACATACGGTAGGTTTTGTGAAGGAGAATGAACAAAGACGAACGAGAATGAGTCAATGGCTAGCCTGGCTTGTCACGAGAGGTGAGTGGCGAAATTGCGAGAGTCAGTGGCATACGAACACAAACGGACAAAGAGCCAAAGATGAGGTTGTACACCAGTAAGTCGAAGCGGGTGGACTGGTTGCCACTCGTTCCTTTATGACGTTTGTACATGGGCTTACAGAGAGCGACTAGGACTGTCATGCCAGAGGTCCCGAAGCTGAGACCGGCTACCTGCTATTCGCCCTTGCATTGTTCGTGATGAGGCCATTGTCATGGGCGTAGCGTATGGCTTCTACTATCGGGAGATATTGTAGGGTGTATGAGAGCGTCCTCTTGGCGCTATCACTCCGAAAGACCGCATTAAACGCCTCTATATGCATGGAATTTTTGAAGGTGTTCTGGTATCATGCTGTCGTTGCCTGCTGATTTGGATCCTTCATCTCAACGTACAAGGGTGGTACCATAATTCCCGTAATCATGTGATCTGACAAGACGGAGCTTGCGATGGAAAATGCCCGACCTGCCCAATCCTGGTGATGTACTCGAGTCTGGATAGACTGTGCCTCCGCGGGACGCACAGCGGATACGGGACACTCTTCAGAAGATACACCAAAGGCCTTGCCAGCGTCTCATTATTCAATTGTGCCAGCGCACTTCCTAAATGTAACGTACGAGAGGTCAACCTGGGAAGCACAAAGATGCATGTCAGATTGTAACGCACCCATGCGAGATTCGCCATCATCCTCGTCTCTTGATCCGCCAACTTCATGTACTTCTCTATGGGCCAAACCCCTCGAATGCTGTTTTCCCACTTCGCCAGAGCCATCTGCTGCTTCAAAGTCTGAAGCTGCGTAGCGATGGTGACAATCTTCACGCGAACGTCAGCGAACCAGTCATTCGTAAAATTGGGCGTTCCGATATTTGTCGTGCCTTTAGAGCTGATCCACATTGATACGATGTCCGAATGCAACGACGACAGAGACACCAGGATGGACACGTTACGGAGCCTCACGGCTTTGCGTCCGGACTTTGGTGGAAGCATCATGAGTATGAACGAGGTAGCCGAGCCTAACAACAGACAGTATCAGCATCTCTTTACGATGGAGACCAATGTCCATCGCCTCGAAGCAATCCTCCATCAAGTACCCGGATTGCCGAAGACGGGGATATGGCAATCCAGCCATGAGTAGCCTACATGAGCACCCAGGTAACCTGTTGAATCAGATCAGAGAGAGCGAACGTTCATATGAGATGTCAATGACTCACGAAGGCGAGCAATACACCTGGAAGGTACGTTAGAGGTGTGAAGAGCCGGAAGAATGTGGCAGGATGCAATACCACTCCGACGATGACAACCAGCCCACACCGATTGCCGCCACCACTTCCAGACCCTACACCACGTTGTTCTTTAGACTTACGTCGTCATGTTCAGGAAAGATCTCCTTATCAATGTACCAGCCGACTAAACCGAGATTGCCACCGGCGAACGTCCCTGTCAACCGCGTAATGAGGCTACACCCCCGTTGGAACTAGATTTGTCGTTTGAGAAAC